TTCCCATTCTAGAGCTGGTTGAAGCACGGTCTGCTTTCTAGTGGCTTCTATTCTGCCTTGCTTATCGTGGAGTGCACTAATACCTATTGTTGTACATAGTGTATATAGTGTACATACTTCTGCTCTTACTTGGTGAAGGATAATATAAGTCCAAAGTTTTTCTGCTGTGTTTATTTTGCTCCCTTTACACCCAGGATAACAGGCCTTTGAATTCCTGGGTTGTAATATGGGTAGCCTGTCCGAGAGCTGGAGCTGGACTTAGAGCACGGGTTGAGCCTAGGGTGACGCTGGAAGCAGGAACATCGTGTACCTTGCTGTCTGGCATTGCATTAGCTTTGCCAATGCTTCACAAACTTTGTGTCAATTGCCTTGCTATGGTCAGCCTTGCTATGTGTGATCGATGACAGCTCGCTACTAGCTTGTTCGTTGTGCTCGCTTCGCTATGGTCAATCTTGTTGTTGTGTGAAGATTTTGCAGTCAGCTTTGCTATTGTGTATTAGCCTTGCTATTGTATATGCGTATTCTGCAGTCATACTGTGCATAGCTAAGCGTGTATTGCAAATAACGTGTACGTTGGGGTAGCCGCCTAGACGAGTCAGATATCTGGTGTCTGAATACACGTTATTAAATTTATCTAAATTTTCCCTAGTGTTGTTGGCAAATTGCTCATTCCATTGGCATTGATTACGAACGCACTCTCACAGCTGCGCAGCTTCGTACTCTTATAAGTATCACTTCGGGAAGAGGAGATGGCAGATCAGACTCCTTCCTCTACAACAGCCAAGAATAAAACTCCAATGTTCTTGCAGGAGGAAAATGATACATCAACAGAGCAAAACCGTCAGTCTTGTGTAACAGGGTTGTCTGAAGGTGAATCAGCTGCGTTGGCACTTGAGTTGGCAAAAATCAATCTTGAGCAGACTAGGCATATGCCAAGGAAGAGTTTGATAGGGAAAAAGAAAGAAGGCAGTTTTCTCAAGTTGTAAATGACTTTAGTTTACAGAAAGGAGTACAGCTTGTTCCCCGCTTCAATGAGGCAGAACCAAAACAATTTTTTGGAACTTTTGAAAATCAGGCTCGAGCCTTGAGGTGGCTGGAACAGCATTGGGCATCATTGGTTTACACAGCGTTGTTTGGTAAGGCACAGGAATTTATGTCGGTGTTAAATGACACTGATTTTTCCAATTATAAAGTGGTGAAGACCACAGTTCTGGGAGCATATCAATGCATCCCAGCTAAGCATAGGAAGTCATTCAAGTTAGGCAGACAACAGCTTGGTCAATCCCTGGTGGATTTTGTGCGACAGCAGACCAAAGCTTTTACCAGCTGGTATAAAGCAAGTGGTGTTGCTGCCTTCGATGATCTCGTGCAGCTTGTCCTAGTTGACAACCTGCTGGAGTCTGTGGGACCAGAGGTTAGTCTTCTTGCAGGATCGTGTCTTAACTACTGCACTGGAGGCAGCCAGGTTGGCTGATACCTTTGAAACCAACCGTTCCTTGTCCAAGCGGTCCCATCTCTCTTTTCAACAGCCTGGCATGAGCAGAGATCGTCAACATTGGAGGATGAAGTGCCAGCCAGAGGGAAAACGTCTACGTCAGCCAACTAAGTCACCTGGTGAGTCACGCTGCTCAACTTATGGTCAACCTGGTGAGCAACAAACCACTCAACATGGTGCAACTCGACAACAGTATCCAGAGCGACACCAGTTGCAATGTCAGCAGGGAGCTAAGGTCAAGCCTGTCATCTGCTTCCTATGCAACAAAGTAGGTCAAATCCGTCCCAACTGCCCCCATAAACCCCAACCGTTAGGGAAAATCTATAGTCCCTGGTAACATGTCCATGAAAGAAGTAGAGAAAGGGATGGCTCCTTACTACTGTCAGAGTCATATTTCCCTTCAGGAAGAATAAAAAACAACTGAAGCCAGAACCTTTAGATACTGAAGCATACTGCTCACTTATAAGAGAGGGAGTACTTCCCCTTTCTGCACACACTTCATTACAATCCTCTGTCTTGCTGGAAGCATTCGGAGGAGCGATCTTTTCTGTCCCCTTGCATAGAATCTATGTACAGTGCAAATATTACACTGGATACTTGACTGTGGTTGTATCCGAGGGATTTCCTATGAAAGATGCCATGTTATTACTGGGTAACAACATTACCACTGCTAGTGTATGTCCTGAACCCATAATGATTAATTCTTCTCCAGTGTTGGCCATAACTCGGGCAACATCCCAAGGGTTGTCTGGCGAGAATGCTGACCTACCCTTGGACGACTCTGATCTTGGAATAGCCAATTTGTTTTACGAGGAAAACTGGCCAGAGCCTCGTAAATTAAGTGAACAGACTCAGATCAAGCCTTCCTATTCCAGGGTTGCAGGATTGTCAGATATCTGTTTCCATGCCCGAGGGACTGTCTTTCCGGGAGGAACAACGAAAGGACCCTTCTTTGAATTTCGCTTTTCAGGCAGCCATGGGTAAATCCTGTTCGGATCATCCGGTGAAGTATAAACTTAAAAATGACTATTTGATCTGCATTGAGACTGGTAAGGAGATAGAGGGCCAGCAACTGTCAGACAAGTTAGTGGTTCCAACAAAGTTTAGACCTCAAATATTGAATATAGCTCATAATACTTCATTAGGAGGTCACCTAGGAATTACTAAAACATTATATAGAATCACAAAAGAATTCTATTGGCCAAAATTAAGGCAGGATGTGAAGAATCATATCCTATGTTACCAAGAATGTCAGCAAGTAGGGAAACCTGGACATTCCATTAAACCTGCACCTCTGCAGCCTATACCTACTGATGGAGAACCTTTTGCAGAATTAATTATAGATTGTGTTGGTCCACTACCTAAGTCAAAGTCTGGAAATCAGTGCTTATTTACCATTATGGATAGAGTAACTAGATACCCAGAAGCAATTCCCATGCACAGTATTACTACTGCCATTCTCAAGGCTCTAACCAGATTTATTTCTTGTTTTGGTATTCCTAAATCTATTCAAAGTGATCAAGGTACTAATTTCACTGCCAAAGCATTTAGGGAAGCATTAACTAGGTTAGGGATAATCCACAACTTATCCACTGCCTATCATCTTCAGTCCCAAGGCGCCTTGGAAAGATTCCATCAGACGTTAAAAACCATGATGAGAACTTTTTCTATGCATTTTCCTACAGACTGGGATGAATCACTACCTTTGTTTCTGTTTTCAATAAGGGAAACTGTGCAGGAGTCTACCGGGTATAGTCTGTTTGAGCTGATCTTTGGGCACAATGTACAAGGTCCTCTTTGGGTGCTCAAAGAAGGATGGATGGGAGAAGACGTTAGCTCAACACTCTACAACCCGTCTTCAAGGTTGCAGGTGGCACATCAGTTAGCCAAGGCTAACTTAAAGGCAGCTCAAAACAAGATGAAAGAGAGGTATGACAGAAATGCACAATTTTGCTCCTTCCATCCAGGAGACAAGGTGTTGGTACAGGAACCTATACCTGGCCACACCTTGAAAGCTAGATTTATGGGACCTATGCAAATTGTAAGTAAATTATCTGATGTAAATTATGTGGTATTTCCCCTTGTTAAGACCTCAAAAACTAAAACGTACCACATAAATCTCCTTAAAGGTTACTATCAGGTACCTTTGACGGATAAGGCGAAGGAAATCTCTGCCTTCGTAATTCCAGGAGGTCATTATCAACATACAGTTACCCTCTTCGGAATGAAAAACTCCCCCTCTTCATTTCAGAAACTTATCCATCAGGCGATTAAAGGAATTGAAAGCACGGCAGCTTATCTAGACGACATCACAGTGGTGTCTGATGCTTGGGATCAACACCTGTTTAGGCTCAAGGCTGTCTTTGAGACCTTCCAGAGTTCCCATTTAACTGTTAATTTATCCAAGTCTTCTTTTGGCCAAGCCACTGTTACTTTTCTGGGCCATGAAATAGGTAGTGGCAAAGTTGCTCCTAAATTTGCTAAAGTTCTTGCCATTAAAGATTACGCAATTCCCCATGATAGGAAATCTCTTCAACGTTTCCTAGGCATGATAGGGTTTTAGAGAAAATTTTGCAAAAATTTTTCAGATATTGTGGCCCCCCTTTACCTCTCTTACCAATCACAAAGTTACCTTTAATTGGACCCCAGAATGTCAAAATGCTTTTACAAAAGCAAAAAGATTATTGTGTATTGCACCCATTCTTTTGTCTCCAGACTTCTCCAAACCTTTCTCATTACAGGTTGATGCTTGTGAGTCTGGGGTTGGGGCAGTACTGTTGCAAAACGGGGAAGAGGGGTTGCAGCCTGTAGCGTTCTACTCGTCAATGTTCCAGCCGCACCAGAGGGCTTACTCTACCATTGAAAAAGAAGCCCTCTGGTGCAGCTGGAACTTTGACGAGTAGAACGTTACAGGCTGCAACCCCTCGTCCCCGTTTTGCAACAGTATTAGTACATAATTTCTTTACATTATTCTTATTATTATTGTTTTCTTTATGAAACTATGTATGTAGTGATCTAATGGAGTATGCCTTATAAACACTCTGTTTTCTGTTATAATAACGCAAGGGAAGGTATGTAGGAATGGCAGCCATGGTGGCCCTATATACCCCAACAGCAACAACAACAAAGGCCGTTGTGCCGCCTACACTAGCACTACTCACATCTGTAATGTTTCATTCATTCTAGTGTATACATCATGTTTCTATGTTATTAATATTGTTTATGTCATATTAGATGAATTGTGATAGATAAATAAACCGTAGAGTTGATATTAGGCAAATTACTGAAGTATTTTGTCATGCCTGGAATTCCACGAAAACAGATGAATTCCATTTCAATTAATTTAAATGAGGAAAACTGACTCTGCAAATGAGCAAATCCAGATGCGAGCAAGGTCACGAAATGGATTAAACTCATAAGTAGAGGTTCCACTGTACATCTAATGCATTAACATCAATTTAGTGAAGGGTACTGTTTATGTATTACCATAGCTTACAAGACTTACATTGGTAACCTGTGGGTGAAGGTTCAGGCTGGTATGGGCTGTAATTGTGGTCTGAGCTGTAAACTGTTCCAGGGGTCTGTGGTGTGTACGGACCCTGCCCAGCATCTGACTGATAACCTGGGGTACCTTACAAAGACAATACATGAAAATTAAATGGCAGTCATCAGTTTCACCAGCACTTTTCAGTCACAGCATTATTGATGCAATACAAAGTAACAATTATTAATGCCAGTACGTAATTACAAATAATTATTGTGATAACATTTTGACTGACAATAACTGTGTGTATTTATACCCACCATGCACAGTAACACTGAACTGTGAACTACTTTTTTATTACCAGGATTGTAAGCCGGTGAAGGTGATGCCTCATCAAAGGAGTAGTCATCAAACTCGGAATGTCTTGCTGGTGTGTTGGTGATAGTGGGATCCCATGCAGATTGTCTAATAAAGATAGAGAAGACTGGGGTAAATGCTGCTAATTACCAGAAAATACTGATTTTTTTTTATTTTGTAAGTGGAAAGGTACATGAATGCTATAAAATTTGAATAAACAGATGAATGTACTATAAAGTTTCCACTGTACTGATTTTTTTTCACACACTGGCAGTCTCCCACAGAGGCAGGGTGATCCAAAAAATAAACACTTTCAGCACCATTCACAATATCACTGTCTTGTCAGAGGCATGCAGATATGACAGTTCAGATGTTCCTTCAAACAACAAATATCCCCCCCTCCCCTTCTTCAAAGTGCAGGTACTGCACTTCCCACAACCAGGATTCAAGTTTGGCTAGCCAGTTTCCCTGAATCCCTTCACAAAATATTACCTTGCTCACACTCCAACAGCTCATCAGGTCCCAATAACCATTTGCCTCCACTCCAATCTAAAATGCTCACACATGTCTGCTGGTTGTCCAAGCCCCTTGCACACAAAACTTTCTTTACCCCCCTCCATCCTTTCCTAGGTTGACCCTTACCCTGCCTTCCCTCCACTACAGATTCATACACCCTCCAAGTCATCCTATTTTGCTCCATACTCTCTAAATGACCAAACCACTTCAACATTCCCTTCTCAGCCCTCTGGATAATTTAATAACTCTGCACCTTCTTCTAATCACCAAACTATGAATTCTCTGCATAATATTCACATCACACATTGCCCTCAGACACAGTATCTCCACTGCTTCCAACCTCCTCCTCACTGCAACATTTACAACTCAAGCTTCACACCCGTATATGAATGTTTATACCACTATACATTCCCCTCTCTGCCTCCATGGATAACATTCCTAGTCTCCACAGATACCTCAATGTACCACCCACCTTTTTTCTTTCATCAATTCTATGGTTTACTTCGTCATTCATATACACATCCTCCGACAAGTCCACTAGAAACTTGGCACTACTTAACATTCTATCCACATTTTCACACACTTCGAATATACTGGTAATACAACTTTGAGGTGTCAACAAAAATTAAAGTAAGAATTGGAGAAGATTAAGCCAACCTGCCAGGTGTAGCAGATCCATCGTGTGAAGGTGTTGTGCTTCCATAGTGCGGTGTTCGAGAACCATCGTGTTGTGGAGTTTGTGAACCATACATGGGTGTGCGTGAACCAGTGTTGCCATACATTGGTGTGGCAGAGCCCCAAGTTGGAGTACGAGTGTAGGAAGTGAAGGAACCAGGCTTGGCACTGGTGGACCCCACAACTGCTACACGAGAACGATCCACAATAATAGTCTGGCACTTGGAATGAAGTTCAACACGGACAGTTGAATCTGTGGCATCTTTAACAATACCAACATGACCTGTAAGCAAAATATAATGACTGTGAATCAAAATTGTGTGCCTGCATGGAAATCCTTAACTCTATGTAACCTTCAGCACGACTTATTATTACAGTCTACTCAAGGAGTGCATCCGGAAATGCATCATCTAACACAGGTTACTAACTGATGTGGCTGTAAAATTAATTTTATACAGAACTATTAGGTAACCTTGCACATAAATTTTATTTCAGTTAGAGTGATAGTACCCGAGTTCCATTTCTCAAAATACAGTGGACCCTCGAATTTCAGCAGCATCAACTTTCGTGAAATCAGACTTTCGGCAAGTTTTTTCGGCAAAATTTGGCCTCGCAGTTCGTGATTAGACTCATGATTCGGCGACCATCCGGTACCCGTCCGCCCGTCACCACGCACACAAAGCCAGTCTTCAAGGCCATTCACGCTCAGTGTACCACTGTTTACCAACACATGACCATCACCCTGCGGGTTCATACGTAATAATCCATTGTTTTTTGTGATTGCAACTGCTAAATAAGTCACCATGGGCCCAAGGAAAGCTAGTGCAAGCCCTTTGGTAAAGAAAGTGAGGAACACGATCGAATTCAAGAAGGAAATCATTGAAAAATACGAGAGTGGAATGCATGTTACAGAGCTTGCCAGGATGTATGGCAAACCCCATTCAACCATCACTTCGATCGTGGCGAAAGGAAAGGAAATAAAGTGTGCTGTTGTTGCAAAAGGGGTGGATATGCTGACAAAAAGGAGATCACAAATCCTCGAAGAAGTGGAGAGGTTATTGTTGGTGTGGATTACCGAAAAACAGTTAGCAGGAGATAGTGTTACGCAGTCGATAACATGTGAAAAGGCAAGGCAGTTGCATGACGATCTCGTAAAGAAAATGTCTGCAACAAGTGGTGATGCTTGTGATTTTAAGGCCAGCAAGGTTGGTTTGAGAGATTTAAGAAGCGTAGTAGCATTCATAGTGTGATAAGGCATGGTGAGGCTGCCAGTTCTGACAAAATTGCAGCTGAGAAGTTTGTACAGGAATTTAAGGAGTGAATAGACACTGGAGAATTCAAACCCCAACAAGTGTTTAATTGTGACGAAACAGGCCTCTTTTGGAAGAAAATGCCAAAGAGGACCTACATCATGCAGGAGGAAACGGCACTCCAAGGACACAAGCCTATGAAGGATAGGCTTACTCTCATGTTTTGTAGTAATGCTAGTGGGGATTTTAAAGTGAAGCCTTTACTGGTGTATCCCAGAGTGTTCAAGAAAAACAGTGTCGCCAAGAGTAATTTGTGTGTGATGTGGAAGGCTAACAATAAGACATGGGTCACAAGGGATATTTTCCTAGACTGGTTTAACCCTTTGAGGGTCGACAGGCCCTCTCCGAAACTCGTTCTCAGGGTCGGCCAAATTTAAAAAAAAAAAAAAAATAATTTTTTCTTATGAAAAGATAGAGAATCTTTTCCCGATCATAAAGACACCAAAAGTTTGAAATTTGATAGAAAACTTACGGAATTATGCTCTCGCAAAGTTAGCGGTCTCGGCGATGTTTACGCATCGGCGATTTTGCCCACTTTGAGCCCCATTTTCGGCCAATTTCACTGTACTAGTCGACAAAAAACATGAATATTTCGCTAGAACTCCATTTTTTCTATCGAATGGGTGCAAGAAACCACTCATTTATGAAATTCAACTATCCAGTACAGTGGTCAGAATTTAGCAATTTTGCCAATTTCACACAAATTTCAAAAGATGCCAATTTCCGAATAGGGTCCAGAATAAACAAGAAAGACATTCCTGGCACTAAAATGACATTTCCTCTAGTCATTATTCACGTCTCAAGGCCCCTCTTATATTCTTTTGCTTTCCACTTTGAATTTTTATTTTCACAAAAAATATAAGATTTACTGTTATGCAGACTACTGCATTAGTGTAAAAAATGGTATAAATATTATTGGTGCACTTGTGAAAGAATATTAGACTCACCAGTTGACGTGTATTGCACGCTTGGCACGATTTGTTTACTTTTGAAGTTTGGTAAAAATCGAACATTTCTGCTACTTTGAGCTCAATTTCAAGGCACCTTTCTTTGTAAAACCAGTCAAAATCATCTCTATTTCTGTAATATGTCTTCCATTCTATAAAATGAGACCAAGAAAACTAGAATACAACAATAAATACCATACGAAAATACACTGCAAAGTCGCTGATTTATTAACAAAAAATGGTCAAAGTTTTTTTTTTTCTCATTATGCACTGTGTGCTGCAGGATTTTTTTTAGACTGTGCACACTGACCACATAGACCCATTCTTTCATATGAAGGCCTACCAGCTTTCTCCCACTAGATTTGAGGCCGCTAGAATTTATGAGTACTAGTACGTCAAAAACCCCTACGCGTACGACGTACTAGTACGACGAAAACCCTCAAAGGGTTAATGAAGTGTTTGGCCCCAGTGTGAAGAAATACCTCCTGAAAAATAAACTGTCACTCAAGTGCCTCATCCTCCAGACTTGGAAGAGCAAGTAGTGGAGGAGTTTAGTTTCATCACGGTGAAGTTCTTGCCCCTTAATACAACTCCTCTCCTCCAGCCCATGGACCAGCAGGTCATTTCAAACTTTAAAAAAACTCTACACAAAAGCAGTGTTTCAAAAGTGCTTTGAAGTGACGTCAGACACAGAACTGACCCTAAGAGAGTTCTGGAAAGACCATTTTAATATCCCCCATTGCATAAACCTTATAGGTAAGTCTTGGGAGGGAGTGACTTCCAGGACTTTAAACTCTGCTTGGAGAAAATTGTGGCCAGAATGTGTAGAAGAGAGGGATTTTGAAGGGTTTGGGGCTGACCCTAAGGAGCTTATGCCAGTTGTGGAATCTATTGTGGCATTGGGGAAGTCCCTGGGGTTGGAGGTGAGTGATGAGGATGTGGAAGAGTTGGTGGATGACCACAAGGAAGAGCTAACCACTGAAGAGCTGCAAGAGCTTCATCTGAAACAGCAACAGATCACAGCTCAGGAAACTGCTGCAGAGGAGGAGGAGGAGGAAAAGAGATGGAGGAAGGTGCCTTCTTCAAAGATTAAGGACATTTGTGAAAAGTGGACTGAAGTGCAAACATTTATGGATGAACTTCACCCTAACAAAGCTGTTGCAGGCCATATTAGCAACATGTACAATGACAGTGTTGTGTCCCACTTCAGACAAATCTTAAAGAAACGCCAGAAACAGAGCTCTCTGGACAGATATTTTGTGCAACAGGGTTCCAGTGACTCTCAAGTTGTTCCCAGTGCCAGTGTCTTTAAAAAACAAAGAAGGGAAGTAACCCCAGATAAGGACTTCATACCTGAAGTCCTAATGGAAGGAGATTCTCCTTCCAAACAATAGTGTACACCTTCCTCCTTTCCCCTCCTCCCATCTTCCATCCACCTAGAAGTCTTCAGTAAAGGTAAGTGTAATGTTATTATTATTTTTTATATGTATGTACTTTATTTCTCGTTGTTTTCAGTATGTAAATCTTTATTTAATTTGAAAAAAAAAAAATTATTTTAATATTTTTGGGTGTCTGGAACGGATTAATTTTATTTCCATTATTTCTTGTGGAGAAAATGGTTTCGCCATTCGGCAATTTCAACTTTCAGCAGGCTCTCTGGAACGGATTAATCACGAAACTCGGGGGTCCACTGTATTCAAAATGAAACTGAACATTTGGGCATGAAATGTTCCACTTCTCAATAAAATCTCATTCTGTTTATGAGCCTTTCTTCACATGACTTACCTTTGTATGGTCCTTGTGTGATCTTGATTGTCTGCCCAATAACACCACGATCCCTGCCAGCTCCTCTTCCTCTCCCTCGTCCTCTGCCACGCTCGCCAAACCCTGCACCTCCACCCCCACCGCCCCCACCACCATCACTACGTTCACTTGCACCACCCATTGGATGGGCTGGAGATGACAGCCATGGAGACATAAGACCCATCCCCATACCACCTATCCCTACCCCACCTCCAACTGACTGTGGACAAAGAGGTTAAGAAGAGATAAATAAATGTTATACAACTACAGTACATATAATGAATAATAGTTTGCATATTTAATTAAAAATTCCAATTAGAGTGGAACCTTGGTTTTCGTATGCCCTAGTCTGTATGTAAAACTATAGTTAATCTCTATACAATGTTTTTTTTTTTTTTGGTTAATATTTCCCATAAGAAATAATGTAAATCCAATTAATCCATTCCAGAGACCCAAAAATATTAGAAAATACATTTTATAGAGAATAACTATAGTTTCACATACAGACTAGGGCATACAAAAACTGAGGTTCCACTGTATACAGGTACCATCCGACTTACGACCGAGCTTGGTTCCAACCAACCGGTAGTAAGTCGAAATGGATGCAAGTCGAACCTTACTACTGAATATCAACATCATATTTTTGTAATGACTTCATTTTATTGTTTTATTTTGGTATTTCATATTTTACTTTACTTTTTATGTTGTCAGTACTGTATTTTATACTGTAAGGTTTAGGATAAACACTGTGTACAATACAAACAGTTGTTTATTTCCCAGAAATTTGGCATAAAAAACATGGTCGTAAGTTGAGTGGTCATATGTCGAGCAGGTCGTAAGTCTGATGGTAGGTGTATTTAGAATGTACTTTCTAGAAATATATTGCACATTATCAAATACAATAATACAACTGATGACCACCAATGGGAGCCCTCTTTCATTTTACAAGTACAGGTGCTCCTCAACTTACAATGGCTTGACTTACGATGAAACTTAAGATAATTACACAGCATGAAGGCGGGAAGTCCATAACTTGTATACATTTTCATTTTAATTTTCAATACTGATATTTAGTTACAGAAATTATTTGTTTATATACTTATTCAGTGTAATTATTTATTTAACATACAGTGGTACCTCAAGTTTTGAACAGCTCCCAACTCTTAACAATTATGTAAGTGTATTTTTTAAGTGTTTTTGTAAGTGTATTTTTGGGGGTCTGAAATGGACTACTCTAATTTACGTTATTCCTTATGGAAACAAATTCGTTCAGTATCAGCGCTCGAACAGCCTTCTGGAACGAATTACGTTCTTAACTCAAGGTACTACTGTATATTAATTTTCGACTTACGATGGGGTTGTCAAAAGTTAACCCCATGTAAGTCAAGGAGAACCTGTATAAAGGTCAAAATGACTAATATCAAAATTTCCACATGAATGAATTATACATATACGTACAGTGGAGCCCCGGATATTGGCCGGTGCGGATATTAGCCAAATCGGATTTCGGCCACTTTTTTGGCTGAAATTATATCCTGTATTACGGACGGCAACTCAGAAATTGGCCGTATTGGATGCATCCGCCCGCCACTCCGCTGCATTCGTAAGTCAACCTGGGTGTGTGTCTGGGTGAGTGAGCAACACTGCATTCATCCAAACATTTCGTTACAATCCATTTTTTCTGTGGTTGTTTATTGAGTGCGACTGTGAAATAAGCCACCATGGGTCCAAAGAAAGTTCTTAGTTCCAGTTCTTTGGTAAAGAAAGTGAGAAACATGATAGAATTCAGTGACAAAAACCTTCTCCCACTTCAGGGAAAATCTTAGAGATGCCAGAAACAGACCTCTCTGGACAGTTTTTTTTGTGCAACAGGGGTGCAGTGACTCTCAAGCTGGTCCTAGTGCCAGTAAAAGACAAAGAAGGGAAGTAACCCCAGATAGGGACTCGATACCTGAAGTCCTTATGGAGGGGGTTTCCCCTTCCAAACAATAACCCCAACTCCCTCTCCCCTCCTCGCCTTCCTCAATATGCCAACAAGTCTTCAATAACGGTATGTAATGTTCATTTATCATTAAAATTTGCACTTTAAATTTATTTCTCATTGTTTTCTACATAAAACTACAGTTAATCTTTAAAAAATGTATTTTTTGTTAATATTTTTGGGTGTCTGGAACGGATTAATTGTACAGTGGACCCATGGTTTTTGTGATTAATCTGTTCCAGAGAGTCTGCAGAAAACCAAAATTCATGAAAACTGAAACCATTTTCCCCACAAGAAATAATGTAAATCCAATTACTCCATTCCAGACACCCAAAAGTATTAACAAAAAAATTTTTTTTTAGAGATTAAATATAGATTTACATACAGAAAAGAATAACAAATCAATATAAAGCAATAATATCACACTTACCTTTATTGAAGACTCTTGTTGGTGTATGGAAGATGGGAGGAGGGGAGAGGGAGGAGAAGTTACTGTTGTTTGGAAGGGAAATCCCCTTTCATAAAGACTTTAGGTACCCTGTCCTTATCTGGGGTTACTTTCCTTCTTTGTTTTTTAATGCGACTAGGACCAGCTTGAGAGTCATTGGACCCCTGTCACTTAAAAAATTGTTCCAGAGAGCTCTGTTTCTGTGTCTCTAAGATTTGCCTAAAATGGGACAAGGCATTGTCATTGAACATGTTGTAGACACGGCCTACAACAGCTTTGTTAGGGCAATGTTCCTCACAAACGTTTGCACCTTACTCCACTTTGCACAAATGTCCTTAATCTTTGAAGAAGGCACCTTCTTCCCTCTCTGTTCCTCCTCCTGTGAAGCAATTTCCTCAACTGTGGTCTGTTGCAGTTGCAGATGAAGTTCTTGCAGCTCTCCAGTGGTTAGCTCTTCACTGTGGTCCTCCACCAACCTTCCACATCCTGGCCACTCACATCCAACCCCATGGAATTCCCCAATGCCACAATACATTCCACAACATTCTCTACCAAAGGGCTGGCACTAGGAGCTTTCTTTAGGCCCATTGAGGATTACTTAGCAGTTGCAAGCACAAAAAACAAAGGATTATTACAAAATGTTTCATATGAATATGAGGGGTGATGCTCACTTGCCTAGAAACAATGCCAGACTGACTCAGAATGCATCTGTGGGAGGTTTTGTGTGTGTGGGGCCACTGAGACATGTTCTGTATGACTGCTGAAATCCAAGGGAAATCACAAAAACCAAGGCTATATTTTGACAAAAAAAGTTGCAGATAACCAAAATTCATGAAAACTGAGACTCGCAAAAACCAAGGGTCCACTGTATTTACATTAATTCTTATGGGAAATATTACTTTGGTTTTTGGCCTTTCGGATATAGGCCGACCTTCTGGAATTTATTATGGCCGAAATCCAGGGTTCCACTGTACATGAATCAAAAATTATGACAAGCAAGAAGCATACCTTAAGGGTGGAAAATCATATCAAAACAATGAATTAGTAATCAATAACAATAACATTAACTTTACCTTAGCTCCTCCAGCCTGAGCCAGATGCCTTGTCTTGCACACAAAAATACCACCATTTTCAAGCATCATTTTTGAGTGGAGAAATGCAAAATTTCTATACAAATGACGTATTTCACCTTGCCGACCCTATTAAATGGACAAAAGCATGTTATACAAAATTATTTATTATAAAATTACATTTTCTCTAACAAGTTTTAGATGCATAAATGGATGAAGTCATCATAAGTTTTACGTTCAGTGAAGCATACCTGGTACCTCTCTTAACTCTATTTGGTATTGACAACCAATGGATCTGACGAATAGATTTGACAGTTAAAAACAGAATGGGGAGTTGGAGGTATTGGGAAGATGGTGGGAATATTCTGATGAACTGTTAAATGTTGATGAAGAGAGGGAGGCAGTAATTTCATGCACTGGCCAGGAAGATTAAACATCTTTTAGAAGTGAAGAAGAGCAGATGTGAGTGGAGGGGAGGGGAGGTGAAGGAGGCATTAGGTAGAATGAAAGGGGGTTAAGCAGCTGGAACTGATGGGATCATGACAGAAATGTTAAAACGAGAGGGGGACATAGTGTTAGTGTGTTTGATACTTTTGTTCAATAAATGCTTGAATCAGGGGAAGGTACCTAGGGACTGGAAGAGAGAAAGTATTATTCCTTCATACAAGGGAAAGGGGGACAAAAGAGACTGTAAAAATTATAGATGAAAGTGTTGAATGATGATGAAAGTATTTTCTTTTTGGTGATTTTCTTTCTTTTTGGGTCACCCTGCCTCAGTGGGAGAAGGTCGACTTGTTAAAAAAAAAAAGTTTACTGAGTATACCATGTAAACTATACAGTAGGGTTATTACTAAAAGAATTAGAGGTAAAACAGAGAGTAGGATTGCAGTTGAGCAGAGCGGCTTTAGATCAAGTGTTTACATTGAAGCATATATGTGAACAGTATTTAGATAAAAGGTAGGCAAGTTTTTATTGCATTTATGGATTTAGAAAAGTCATATGATACAGTTGTAGGTAGTAGGTTGGTAGACAGCAACTGCCCAGGGAGGTACTTCCATCCTGCCAAGTGAGTGTAAAATGGAATCCTGAAATTGTTTTACATGATGGTAGGATTGCTGGTGTCTTTTTTCTGTCTCTTAAACATGCAAGATTTCAGGTATGTCTTGCTACTTCTACTTACACTTAGGTCACACACTACACATACATGTACAAGCATATATATATACACACCCCTCTGGGTTTTCTTCTATTTTCTTTCTAGCTCTTGTTCTTGTTTATTTCCTCTTATCTCCATGCAGAAGTGGAACAGAATTCTTCCTCCGTAAGCCATGCGTGTTGTAAGAGGCGACTAAAATGCTGGTAGCAAGGGCCTAGTAACCCCTTCTGTATAAATTACTAAATTTAAAAAGAGAAACTTTCGTTTTTCTTTTTGGGCCACCCTGCCTTGGTGGGATACGGCTGGTTTGTTGAAAAAAAAAAATATGATACAGTGGATAGGGAAGTAATGTGGCAGATGTTGCAAGTGTATGGAATAGGTAGTAAGCTACTAAATGCTGTAAAGAGTTTTTATGAGGCTCAGGTTAGGGTGTGTAGGAGAGAGGGTGATTACCTCCCGGTAAAAGTAGGTCTTAGACAAGGATGTAATGTCACCATGGTTGTTTAATATATTTATAGATGGGGATGTAAAAGAAGTAAATGCTAGGGTGCTGGGAGGGGTGGAATTAAATTATGGGGAATCAAATACAAAATGGGAGTTGACAGTTACTTTTTGCTGATGATCCTGTGCTTTTGGGAAGATTCTATAGAAAAGTTACAAAGGTTAGTGGATGAGTTTGGGAGGGTGTGTAAAGGTAGAAAGTTGAAAGTGAACATAGATAAGAGTAAGGTGATGAGGGTATCAAATGATTTAGATAAAGAAAAATTGGGTATCATATTGGAGAGAGGGAGTATGGAAGAAGTGAATGTTTTTAGATATTTAGGAGTAGATTTGTCAGTAGGTGGGTTTATGAAGGACGAGGTTAAGCACAGAATTGATGAAGAAAACAGGTGACTGGTGCATTCAGGAGTCTGTGGAGACAAAAAACGTTATCCATGGAGGCAGTATAGTACTACCAACACTCTTATATGGGTGTGAAGCATGCATTGTAAATGCTGCAGTGAGGAGGAGACTGGAGGCAGTGGAGATGTCACATCTAAGGGCAATGTGTGGTGTAAATATTATGCAGAGAATTCGTAGTGTGGAAATTAGGTGTGGAGTTACAAAGTATTATTCAGAGGGCTAAAGAGGGGTTATTGAGGTGGTTTGATCTTTTAGAGATGATAGAGCAAAATAGAATGACTTGGAGGGTGCATAAATCTGTAGTGGAGGGGAGGAGAGGTATGGGTCATCCTAGGAAAGGATGGAGGAGAGAGTAAAAGAAGTTTTGTCTGCAAGAGGCCTGGACATGCAGCAGGCATGTGTAAGCATGTTAGATTGGAGTGAGTGGAAATGAATGGTTTTCGGGACCTGACGAACTGCTGGAGTGTGAGCAGGATAATATTTTGTGAAGGGATTCAAGGAAACCAGTTACCCAGTCTTGAGTCCTGATGGTGAGAAGTACAATGCCTGCACTTTTAATCCTTTGAGGGTTGAGACCCTCAATCCTGAGCTCCCACTCAACATAAAAAAAAAAAAATTATTATTTTTCTTATGAAATGATAAGAGAATCTTTTCCCAACTGGTAATGACACCAAATGTATGAAATCTGATGGAAAACTTATGGAATTATGCTCTTGCTAAGTTAACGGTCTCAACGATACTTACGCATCGGCGATTTTGCCCACTTTGAGCCCTATTTTCGGCCAATTCCAATGTTCCAGTCAACTAAAATCACAGCTATTCAGCTAGAACTCCATTTGTTCTATCGACTGAGTACTATTGACTGCTAAAACTGTCTTCCCTACTTCCAACTTTAACAGTCGCCGTCTGGTTGAATCCTCCCTAATACACAACTTTCCTTGTATGAATCTTGATCCTGGCTTCGTCTCTGTAGATGCCTTCCTCTCCCACTACATTGTAAAATGCTCCAAACTTCAGAACACCCGTAACTTAACCTGATTCCTCCTTTTTTTTTTTCTTCTCCCTCTTCCCCTTTCCTCTTTCCTTTTTTTCTCTTCTGGGTTGTCTTTCTTTCTTCTGTCTTGTGCTTCTGTTCCTTCATTATTTTTTCATTATTTCCCCTCCCCCCCTCTGTGTTCTTGCTCTCCCTCTGTGGGCACCTAGCTCCCTTGCAGAGCTCCCCTTTCTTTGTATTTGACTCGCTCTTCCTCCTTACTTCCCCATTACTACTTCCTTCCATCTCCACCACTACCACTACTACTACTACCACCACTACCTCTTCCTGCCTGTATATACCCGTCCTGCTCTACTTCTCGTTAGTGTGACTTTGTAAATGGTCCAAGTCGGAACGAAACGTCGTCGTAAGCTCCTCTCTTCTATGTGTGGGTTATTTGTGTATTGTTATTTATATACCCAATAAAGTGGTCAGAAATTGGCAATTTGGCCAATTTCACACAAATTTCAAAATAGGGTCCAGAATAAACAAGCCAGACATTCCTAGCACTAAAATAACATATTCTATGTTCATCAGTCACATCTCCAGGCCCCTCTTATATTACTCTTGCTTTCCATTTTGAATTTTTCTCACACAAAAATAGATTTAATGTTGTGCAGACTACTGCATTATTGTAAAAATGGTATAATGGTATAAATAATATCAGCTCACTTGTGAAAGAATATTAGACTCACCAGCTATTGGATGCGTGGCGTGACTTGTTTACTCTTGAACATCGGCAAAATTCGAACATTTCCGCTACTTTGAGCTCAATTTCAAGATATTTTTCATCGTGAAACCAATCAAAATCATCTCTATTTCTGTAATATATCTTCCATACTATCAAATGAGACTAAGAAAACGAGAATACAACCATAAATACCATACAAAAATACACTGCAAAGTTGCCGTTTTAAACCAAAAACACAGTCAGATTTTCTCATTATGCATTGTGTGCTGCAGAATTTTTTTTATACTGCGCACACTGACCACACAGACCCATTCTTTCATGTGTAGGCCTACTAGCTTTCTTCCACCAGATTTGAAGGTGCTAGAATTTTAGCGTATAAGTACGTGTAGTAGGTAGTAGGTTGGTAGACAGCAACCACCCAGGGAAGTACTTCCGTCCTGCCAGATGACTGTGAAACAGAAACCTGTAACTGTTTTACATAATGGTAGGATTGCTGGTGTCTTTTTCTGTCTCATAAACATGCTAGATAACAGGGATATCTTGCTACTCCTCCTTACATTTGATCACACTTCCAGACACGCACATGCATATATATATACATACATCTATCCTTTTCTCCTTTTTCTAAATAGCTCTTTTTCTTCTTTATTTCTTCTGTTGTCCATGGGGAAGTGGAAAAGAATCTTTCCTCCGTAAGCCATGCGTGTCGTATGAGGCGACTAAAATGCCGGGAGCAATGTGCTAGTAACCCCTTCTCCTGTAAACATTTACTAAAAAAGAGAAGAAAAACTTTATAAAACTGGGATGCTTGAATGTGCGTGGATGTAGTGCAGATGACAAGAAACAGATGATTGCTGATGTTATGAATGAAAAGTTGGATGTCCTGGCCCTAAGCAAAACAAAGCTGAAGGGGGTAGGGGAGTTTCGGTGGGGGGAAATAAATGGGAATAAATCTGGAGTATCTGAGAGAGTTAGAGCTAAGGAAGGGATAGTGATAATGTTGAAGGATCAGTTATGGAAGGAGAAAAGAGAATATGAATGTGTAAATTCAAGGATTATGTGGATTAAAGTAAAGGTTGGATGGGAAAAGTGGGTCATAATAAGCGTGTATGCACCTGGAGAAGAGAGGAATGTAGAGGAGAGAGAGAGATTTTGGGAGATGTTAAGTGAATGTATAGGAACCTTTGAACCAAGTGAGAGAATAACTGTGGTAGGGGACCTGAATGCTAAAGTAGGAGAAACTTTTAGAGAGGGTGTGGTAGGTAAGTTTGGGGTGCCAGGTGTAAATGATAATGGGAGCCCTTTGATTGAACTTTGTATAGAAAGGGGTTTAGTTATAAGTAATA